CCAATCTGTCCTTGCAATTGGATGGAGCCTCAAAGCCCGTGATATCATCACTTTCCCCGCTGTGCCATTTTCAGGGTCAAACCTGAAGGCTCTCCCTACCCCAGCTACTCGAATTAAAGTTTGGATTTTGCCCCCTGTGGTTACAGATTTACAAGGTAACGACTTAACAACACTATCACTAGGCCCACTCCTCCCTCAGCCGCTGCTCCCTGCTTCCACCCCCACAATCCCTGCTGCTGTAATCTTTTATTTCTCAACCTTGAGGTAAACCTAAATTCACCATGAAAAAAAACACACACACACAAAAAAAGCAGGTGGAGTTGAAACACCAGCCTTTTTTGACCAGCTCCCTGAAATCACTGTCTCTGCACCCCAGGTCATTTTTAGTGTGCCAGTTCGTCAGAACCTTGTCTATTCAGGCATTTCTAGTTGTTTGACAGTAACAGGAAGATTTCCGAATGCCTTACTCATGCTTCAGTCCTCTTTTCCCCAAAACTGTGCTTCTTCCTTTACCTTCCACAGTAGACTTCTTTTCTCCAGCTTCAACAACTGCTCGTTTGCTTGGGAAATTTTATGAAACAGAGTAGCCTCCTGTGTCCTACATTTTTCAGGACTTCTGCATTTGAACATTACAGAAACTTAATCTCAACTAGTTTAGGCAACAGTGAAAATTTTATTGACTGGATTGACTCAATAAATAAGTATTTATTGTTGTTGATTAATTGTATAACGTATCAGACACTGTGCTAAGTGCCAGGCTTCCAGACAGAAACAATAAAGCCCTGGACTCCTGTGCTTCAAGTTGGAGTATGGAGACACCTGGGGAACGAATGCAACCAAAGGGAGAGTCAGGCAATGAATGAGGGAAAGCAATTACTGAGGACCTGTATTGTACCAGAGCCTCTTCCGTTCATAATATTACATAATTCTCACAAGTGTATAATTTAAATAATATTAGGAAACCAAGGCTCAAAAGGATGAAAAAAAAAATCATCTCAGGTAATCTAAGTAGTAAAATCTAGAGCTATGATTTGAACCCAAATCTCAAAACCTCAGCATCCATGCTGTTTTCACCTTACCAGTTTGCTTCCACACCAAAATCCAGGAAAACAAGGAAACGACATTTATGCCCTTTTTTAAAAAAAAAAGAAATACCAAACACATGACAACTTTCTCATTCATTTATTCCGATGGCCAAGTGGTTTGGGGGCTTTCACTTTCCACAACTGACTCCATAGACTTGAATACACCCTACACTTATGTAATTAATCCAATAGCATGGAAATAATATATGTTCAATCTTAAAAAGATATATTAAAACTGAAATAATTAGTGTTGCTTCATCCATGCAAGTTAAGAGAATCTAGCTGCATATTTAGGTCTGAAAAACAAGAAAATAAAAGGGGTGGTAATAAATTTTTAAAGGTAAATTAAAGTTAGTTTTGCATGTAAGCATACTACAATGCAGATACAGTTTAAACTTGTTATTAGGCAAAAATACATCAAAATAAACCCGACCTGACATAGTTTGTATTGTTTATATAGCACCTCACAAAGCCATCTGAGAGGGCTCAGCAGTGACCAGTATAAACCTCAATCTGTGAGGCTTTTATCAAATATGTTTGTAAAGTGAACAGTGTTCTCCCAAATATTACTTTTGAAGAGAGTTCATATTAGATACATATGTCAATAACATAATTTTTAAAAAATGGGGAAGGGATCAACTATATAAGTATAAAAAAAGTTAGTGCCCATTTTGATCTATATCTTTCCTTCTGACGGCAATGCCAAGCGCAGAAATCCCAGAATGTATCACAAATAACGCATAAGCAACTCACAGGTTTGCTTAGCCATGTGAAAAGTCCCTNAGTTAGTGCCCATTTTGATCTATATCTTTCCTTCTGATGGCAATGCCAAGCGCAGAAATCCCAGAATGTATCACGAATAACGCATAAGCAACTCACAGGTTTGCTTAGCCATGTGAAAAGTCCCTGGCTTCAGGTTGACATTTCATCTGTTAGGCCAGGGAGAAAGGAATCTTCATTTTAGGTGGCGGAGGGAGGAATTCACATTTTCTAGTTCAATGAGCTCAATTAACCTCCCCCTTGGTGAAGTGCACTCACCCCCATGGATACATACGCCTGCACACCCACCTGCACACATACCCGGGAACAAGCAGCACAGTTATTATTTCAAGCTATCAAATTCAAATCCCAGTTTGTGAGCTATTAGCAATAATGTTTGACATCTCACTGGATACAAGATAAGATTTATGTAACTTCGAGAACAGCAAAAATCATTACCCAAAGCAGAGATGTCATTTTGAATATATTGCATTCGCTTAAGTACGTTCTCCTGACAATGATTTGCATTGTTTTCTTTGCTAAGCGTGAAAAATAACTGTATCAAAAATGAGACCTGAGCCTCGGTGTCTGAGAGACTCTATACACTGCAGGCACTAAACGGAAAGTGTTACCCAAGAGATCTCCAGCTCACCTCCTTCCCTGTTTTAAATTCTTCTTCATCCCAGGTACCCTGGGAAGCTTCTCACGGTCCCAAGTATTTCTGAAGTTCTTGGAAAGAGGTGCTTTCGTTCTTGTTGTCACCTGTATGCCCAGACTTAAATCCCAGTTATTACCGATGGCCTACTCCCTGCTTTCCACCTCCCCTCCCCTCCTATCACTTTTTTCTGTTCTCCTGTCCCCTTGCTCTTTAGGTAAAGTTCATCTCTTGCTCCCTCTCTCAAACCTCCACAAGAACCCTTTTGGGTGTCACCAACTTTTACTCAAGGCCTTGTCAGGATAAGGGGACACTAGCAGAGTACATTTTTTAAAAAACTTAAATGGCTTGCTCAGTATCGGTGTCATTAACGGCATCGGGCCGTCACCACCCCAGAGAACTTCCCGCCAGCGGTCTTTCTAAGCCTCTGTTTGTGTGCTTGTTTTTTAATTGTAGTGTCTCCACCTTCCCTGATAAAAACTGTTTTCCCATCACAGCTTCTTTACCTTGTGGCCTCTCTTCATTCTCTTCCCATTGTCCTCCAAAAGCTCAAAACTCTAAATTTCTGTTTTCTTACCGAGCGGAGGAAGTTAGTTCTCGCAACTTCCTTGTCTTTCCTACCTAAAGAGTCATTAAAGTGTTTCCCTAAAGAAAAAAAATCTGTCGCCTGTGACCTCCAACTGGACACACACGAGCAGGAGACTAACGCTGATGTTTTCCTCTCACAGATGATGAAAAACAGATTGTAGAGCCTCTCCCAAAAACAGTCTACGAAAACGTAAAAAACCTTTGGGAAATTGCCTTTCTTCGTGCGCTGAGAAAACCTGAATCGTGATTGATTAATTATTTCTTACCAATTTACACAAAATTGAATCAGAGGTATTAGGGCTCTTGACTCCAAATCGGACTCCAGAAGTCCAACTGCGAAACCGCTTTGGAAGGGGGGTTACAGCAAGAACACAAGGAGCACGTTGGGCTTGTGTAGAGAAAGGCCTTCTGCCTTCTTTTCCCCTGGTTTCCTCTAACGCCCACCTTTTCACATACACTTCTTCTCTTTCCAGGCCAGGCCCACAGATGCCAGTGAGAGGGCGTACAGATCTAAGAAGGGATTTCTCCCACAACCGGCAAGGGAGCTGTAGGGACTCGTGAGCCCGTCTCTGCAATTTCAGGGACGGCAGCCCTTTCTGAATGATTCTCTGGGTCACCCAAACATCACTTTTTTTTCTTTCAAGAAACGGCCTTATTTTTCTTTAGTAGTAGAAACAAACCCAATTCCTATTTCTTCCTCCCATAAAATATTTAGCAGTGATAGAGACCACAGAACAAATGAGAACAGAGAGTCTCTTTCTGTCCTCTTGATCGATCGCTTCTTGTTAAGCTGCCCACGGTAAGGGTGACACTTCAACCTGTTGGCAGCACTCCAGGCTGGAACCAAAAAACTATGGGCATGAGATTCTACATTTCAGCCTCGCTATATGAAAGGACACTCCAGGGAAGGATCCTGCGCAGGGGTCTGCAGGGCTGTCCATGCCTTTCTCTTCGTAAGTAGAAGTGCAGGGACACCCAGTACATGACTTCTCTTCACCATCCTCTTAACAAACGTTGTTTGGACCTTTGAAATATTTATGATTAAATTTTCTCCTTCGTTCCTTTGGTTAGTCTTCTTTGTCTATTTCATTATTACCTTTCTACCAACTTTACGTTTTTTCTTTTCATTGTTTTCTTGCAGTTCCTGAAATGGGGAGGGGGGAAAAAAATATAGGACTTTATTCATTTAAGCTTAAAAATTCCAAGGTTGTTTTGGTTGCTATATCAGGAAAAATAAGTATTTAATTGAAACTGGGTCCTAGTCAAACTTTTCATTTTACAGAATAGGAAATTAAAAACTAAAGAGATAAGTTTGCCAAGATATTTTTCCCATTTGATTAAAACAAGAACCCAGATCTCTTGACTCCCAGGCTAGGGCTTTTTACAATAGGCCAGGCTGCCTTCTGTCTTGATAGTACATTTAGTTTGTCACATGCCATAACAACTACTATTCTGTGCTTTATGACTTACTATTACTTTATGTTTATCGTCATTATCTAAATTGCTGAGTTATACATTTCTTGAAGGTAAAGCTTATGTCTGATTCTATGGCACCCCTAGAAGCCAGTACTCTACAGCGCTTGGGCAAATTTCTGGCATTCAGGGAACACTTGGTGGGTATTTTAACACTATATCCTTTTTTTCCCCCCAAGTACCATTACGAGTCTTCTTCTTTTTTGAATTGAGTGAACAATGTTAAAACTAAGATCAAATTCATCTCAGAAATAAGCACCTAATAATTCCTTCTCTAATAGTAATATGGAAATAGTAATAGGACTAATCGTAATATGAAAAAGTGTTGCTAGAGCAAGTGAAAGGGTTAAGGAGAAACTCTCATCCTCCCTGTGCTGATGTTTCCCTGGGCGGGAACTGCATCAGAGCGACACTCGGCCTCTCCTCCCAGGTGCTTTTACCTGGACCACACGCTCGCTCGGAGGGCGATGGGGCAACGCTGGGCCGCGGCCCGAGCGCCTGCTTCACAATCCATGGGGACACCGCGCGCACCACAGTCCATTTGCTGATCTTGAACTTGACCCTTCTCTGTGGGGTCTAAAGGCCTGCAGAGAGTTTATTTTTTCGTTTGCTTTCAGCCTTGTGGTAAGCTCAGCAGGTCAGACAGTCCTTTCATTTGAGGGGATGCTTTTAATCGCAGGGAGTCACATTAGCAAAAACACTTGCTTGCAAATCTAGGCTCTATTCTCCAAAGTTTTCTCAGTAATAAAGCTGATGTTTTTTGGACTCCTATATATTTTGTTTCCAAATTCAGGTGCTAGGAAAAGGGACTGTTATTTATTTTATTTTATTTTTAAATTGCAGTTTCCATTCAATATTATTTTGTATTAGTTTCAGGGGTATAGCATAGTGGATAGACAATCATATACTTTACAAAGTGTCCCCCCAATATTTCCAGTACCCACCCGGCACCACACATAGTTATTACAATATTGTTTACTATATTCCCTAAGCTATAATTTACATCCCTGTGACTATTTTGTAACCACCAATTTGTACTTCTCAATCCCTTCACCTTTTCCATTTAGTCCCCCAACCACCCTTCCCTCCGGCAACCACCAGTCTGTTCTCTGTAATTATGAGTCTGTTTCCCTTTTGCTCATTCATTTTGTTTTTTAGCTTCCCCATATAAGTGAAAGTATATGGTATTTGTCTTTCTCTGTCTGACTTATTTCACTTAGCATAAAAGTCTCTAGGACCATCCATGCTGTCGCAAGTGGTAAGATTTCATTCTTTTTTTATGGCCACATAATATTCGATTGTATATATGTATCACAGCTTTTTTACCCACTCATCTACTGATAGGCACTTGGGTTGCTTTCATAGCTTGGCTGTTGTAGATAAAGCAATGAATGTAGGGGTACATATGGTCTTTTGAGTTAGCGTTTTTGGCTTTTTTGGAGAATACCCAAAAGTGGAATCATTGGGTCATAAAGCAGTTCCATTTTTAATTCTTTGAGGAACCTCATTATTTTTTATAGTGGACACACCAATCTGCATTCTCACCAAGAGAGCACTAGCGTTGAAAAGAAACTATTATTTATTCAGTGAATCCCCTTAAATGTCAACAATGGTTGCCTCTATTGCTTCAATATCCCCATGTAAAGACAGTAGATATTTCTTAGTTATGGACTGTCTGAAAGTCCCAGAAGGTAACTAGGGGGACACACTAATTGTGGGAAGAGAAAGAGTGTGAACTGTCTTTTATCTCATTTTCTGGTATAGTAGAAGGTAATAAGCTTAACTTTTATAATTCTAGTATTTCTGTATTTCTAACATTACCAAAAACAATATAGTAATTCCTTTTATCCAAGTTAATGTTCTGACAGTACTGGAAGCTACAGTTGTTCATATACAGGGTCTTTATTCAGAAGATTATAAAAAAAATGTATATACCTGGGATATTGCTGAACTAATGTGATATAGTATACCAAGCTTTACCAAGTTCATCACTGCTACTATAATATATTAGAATATATTGGATTAATTAATTATTAGTCATAATTAGTTAGAAACACTCAATAATAAATCAATTGATTTACTTTTAGTAAAAATAGAATGGGTACTAGATATCTCACAAAAGCAAATGGAAAAATGAACTATAACATTAGACAACTTAGTCAAAATAACATTTCTAGTATATTCAGTAACTTATCAGTTGCCTTCCCCGTAAGGCCTTTCCCGATCACTCTTTCTAAACTTCTAACCTCATACCCTGACACTTTATATTCCCATTCTCTGCTTTTTATCTCTTTGGCACTTCTCATTGATTAATATATTACATATTTTGTTTATCTTTTTTTATTGCCTTTTCCCTGCAAATATACACTCCATGAGATCAGGTATCTTTTGTTCACTGCTATGTCTTTAGTTCCTGGAACAGTGCATGACACATAATAGGTTCTCAATAAATATTTGTTAAGTGAATGAACAGCTAGATGAAGGACAAACTTGTAAAGAATTTCTTTAATTTTCTCTTCCTTGCAGTGAAGAAAATTGCCTTTTCTGCAGGGAGGAAAATTGCTTTTCCCTGCCCCTGCCCTGTCCCTGCAGAGTCCCTTAACTCCTCTCCATCACACTTCTCAATGTCTTTTCCAATAAAAACCATACGGACACTTGGAACAGCATGATATTTAGTACCTAAAAACATAGATTTGCTCCACCTCTGTCACTTAGAAGCTGTTTACTCTATGCCTGTTATCTCACTTGTGAAGTGGGAATACAAATACAAGTTGCAAAGATGTAGAAGAGATTAAATGAGTGTTGGAAAGTGCTCTGTAAACCTCAAAAATCTATATAAATATTTACAATGGCGGGCCAGCTGTCATTACCACAGGAGCTTTTTCTTCTATTTTCTGCAAAGTCATATATATTCTCCAGTTGCATATACTATATATTCTTAAATTGCAAACAAAATTCTTCCTTCAACACTGTCCTGTGGAGCAGGCAAAACGGCAGCCCATCGGCTTCTATACTGCTGACCGTGGGAGAAAAAAAGCTCGTCATTTTTCATCGTTTGTGTGACTGCTACCACTCACAAACCTCCAAAAGCCAGACATGAGCAAAAGAGCCAAAGGAAAAAATAATAACTCATTTAAGGGCCCCTCAGCCAGAGAGAGAAATAGCAGAGGACATAAGTGAAGTTATGCATGATAGAGTGGGATCCGAAGTGGGCGCGGCCATAGAATTAGCGGCCATAGAATTAGAAGGGCGCTGGAAAGAGCTTTCTCATTTGCTCTGAACTCTGAAATCATAAAATGAGATGTTAATTTCTTTGTTCTACAGCATTTATCTTCAGAAATCTTGTATTAGAGAGGAAATACCACCCAAGAGAAACACATAAAGTGAGCATCAGTCTTCAATATCTTCTCATAAATTAGGCTTTGGGAAGCTAGCTCTCCCACGGGAAGGCAGAGAACAAAAGCCCAGTGGGATGGGACTCATATTAAGTGAGCTGTCATTCTAGGGAAATGGAAGTTCCTGAAGAATTCTTGAGAAGGATATTTGAACCTAGAACAAGGTTTAGCAAACTTTTTCTATAAACAATCAGATAATAAACGTGTTTTTAGGCTTTGTCTGCTGTTTGGTCTCTGGTGCAGATCTCTGACACTATAGTGCAAAAGTAACCATACACAATACATTAGTGTATTCCAATAAGATTTTATTTACAAAATGAAGTCACATTGTCCAGTGGGTCATAGTTTACCAACATAATTTACCAAAATGCGCAGATTCCTGTCATGTATGTCCCAGAATAATAAAGGAAGTGGGATCGCAGGAAAGTGCTGCTAAGGGCTAGTTCTGCCATCAAGCTTTACGTGGAATATTAAATCTTAGTTCAAACTTGTTTGTTCTTCAATCAGAATTCAGTTTAGCAAAGAAGATTATAATCAGTTGTTTGTTTGTTTGTTTTTTTGACAGGGCAGACTCGTAGTAGTAGTAGAAAGTAGTGGCTAAGAGTGTGGGTAAAGCTCTTAGAATAATGTCTGAGATATGTTAATTACTGTCTGAAGTTTATGTTTTTATTCTATTCCCTTCTACCTACTCCCAAGTTTCAAATATAAATAAATAGGTGATAGATAGATGATAGATGATTGATAGATGATAGATAGATAGATAGATAGATAGATAGATAGATAGA